CCCCAAAACCCCAAAACCCCAAAACCCCAGCCAATGTGGGGCATATTGATTATTGCTAACATTTATTTTCATCAATCCAACATAAAGAACCAATCTTAAATGTTTCGCTTGTTCAAATATCTTAAGTCCAGACTCTGAATCTTTGCGCTTGCATATGAGTCGAAGCTAACTCCCATCACCGTCTTGAAGTTCAAGTTTTCAGGAGACTTGCCAGTTTTCTTGAAGTGGTCGAGCTTAGCAATGTAGTCTCTGGTTATCTGAGCAATGTTGAACAGTATTGGTATTTGCTCTGGATATTGATTCTGCATGTAAGCTGGGAGTTGGATCAGGTGGTGCATGTAGTGACGCTATGTGTCATGCTTTGTGTTACCTTGAGTTGGTCAAACCTGTATGTTGCATATGTACCTATGTCAAGAATTCAGACCAAAATATCAGTAGAGCAAACTTACAGTGAGCGATGAGGCATTTGAAAGGTCTGTCACTAAACTCTGCTGACCAGTGCTGTCTGATATGCATCGACAAGCTGTACGGAGACTTGAAGAACTTGAAGCACATCGGACACAAGCCTTCTTGGGTTTTAAACATAGCTCAGTTAGCATATTCTAGTGGAAGTGCTTTGCTGCCTCTGAACTTGACTGCTGTATCTTTGGAGTGAATAGCAATGTGGCCTTTCATTGCGTCTTCATCCTGAGTTTCAAACACTGTTTGGTCAGCACAGACAGGCTCTGTGTGACACAGCTTTCACTGGAGAGTGGACCTACAAATCTCACTTTGTACATACTTTGAGTCATCAAGACAGGGCACAATTTTGTAGAAATCTTTAATGAAATCTTTGGCGACTTCTGGAGACTTATACTCTGACTCACTTGCAGAGTACACACTTGAGGAAGGATCAGCCAAAGAGCTCTTGTTCTCTTCTGGATTTTGATTGTTGTGTTCATGTTGGGCATCTTGATGGTAATCTTCAGAGTCATACTCTGAACTCGATTCAATCTTGACTTTGCTAGAAGAGTCTTACAGTGAGAAATTTAGTTACTTTGTTTGAACGATGACATCCTTCTGAAGAAGATTCGTGAATCGAGAAACTGACTTGGAATAGTTTCTTAACTTTGGGTGAGTTTACTTCTTCTGTTTTGATGGTGTCCTCTTGTTTGGAAGTCTGTTCGATCTGAGGAATTCTATTCGGTAGTTGTCTGATATCAGATTGTGAGCAAACTGAGTGAGAGGAACTTGAACTGTCAATCTCAACCACAACGGTATCTTTGTTTGAGTTTCTAACAATGGTATCTTTTACTTTAGAAATCTTCAGCTGGGATAATTCTAAATGTTGAGAGATTCTATACCACTTGTTTCTGAATCTGTGCTCAATCTTGCAGGTTGGACTTCTTTCTGTGAGACACCAGCAAGTTGCTTTTGAGTATACTGAGACGGCTGAATCAAAAGATTAGAACTCTCCAATGATTGATCTGGAGCATCTTCTTTAAAATACTCAGCCACAGGTAAATTATTCAAATACTCATTTTTACTTCTCCAAACTCTTTCTCACCAATTCTAAACTATCCACATCCCCTACCTCTAACCCTCCCTAACGCTTCATCATACGACTCCATCCTCCTATCCCCTCCACTGATCATCTCCTCATTCTCTACCATCTTTCAGACCCCCTCAATAAACATCTCAGTCTCTTCATCTACACATCACCCCTCTACCTACCAAGAGCCTTAAAGACCTTAACGACATTACCCATCTGGGCTACAAACTCTTCTACAGAATCAGGTCCTAGCTCACCTGTGGTTAAGTCCATTTTTTAAGTGATTTTTAGGGATTTTATTCGGAATAGGTGGGGAAGTTAGGGGTTTTGGGGTTTTGGGGTTTTGGGGTTTTGGGG